GAAGCCCCTCAGTGTGCCCCGGCTGGCAGACAGGCACGTCCCCCGCCCACTCGAGGGAAAGTACACTGGACGCCTGCAGCAGCAGCTGTAGATGCTATTCCAGGGACAGGGGGACCCCGTGACAGCACCTTTTGGGGTGGTTCACAGCCTTGTGTTCCAAGTAAGCAATGGTTCAGCCATTCTGCTACCCAGGATGCTTGAAGTGGGAACGTGCAGGCACAGGGAGAAGATAAAGCGGTCCCCCGCCCACTCGAGGGAAAGTACACTGGACGCCTGCAGCAGCAGCTGTAGATGCTATTCCAGGGACAGGGGGACCCCGTGACAGCACCTTTTGGGGTGGTTCACAGCCTTGTGTTCCAAGTAAGCAATGGTTCAGCCATTCTGCTACCCAGGATGCTTGAAGTGGGAACGTGCAGGCACAGGGAGAAGATAAAGCGGTGCCACCGTGCCTTGGCCAAGCTCCGCGGGGCTGAACCATCCATGGCTGTAAAGCACAAAGTTGAAAAGGTCCCATAAGATCCCACACCGTCCATCACCCCCTCAAAGGAGGGCTCAGAGCTCCTCCCAGGAGAGGAGGGCTACCAAGAGTGCCCAACAGAAGCAAAGGAAAAGAAAACACAAGTGATGTTGTCAGGAAGTGGTAATAAATACGTCTATTCATGGAGAACAATGCAGCAGTGCAATGTTTTATTGAAAAAAAAATAATCACCTCACTTGATACCTCAGAAGACTGCATCGCAACGCTGGTGGGCCACACCGTGGGAGAGCTACAATCGGGGAGGCCAGCACAGCACCGCGTGCCCCCACCGCACGGCCCGAGAGCCCTCCCCTCGCGTCCCTGGGGTCTCCCAGCTGCTAACGCCTGCCGGTGTGGAGAGGAGAGTTTGCCCAGGTTGGCTTAATGCCCTGCTTCCTACCACAGCATGGCTGGCTCAGTCTGGCTTGTGTCTCCTAGTCACCCCCGAGCTCCCTGGGGACAGTGGTTTCCTCAAGCACAGGACTTGCTGTTAACCGTTGTTTTCCTTTTTTTTTTTTTTTTTTTAAAAAAAAAGCCTCCCCACATCTTTGCCCTTTTGAAGAGTCCAACGTACGACTATAGTGCAAGAGGGCTTGGTACAAGTGAGCATTACCAGCATGCCGTGGGGGGGACAGTCCTCCCCTACAAACACATCATCGTAGGATTAAAAGAACGTCGTATCTCCAGAGAGAAGCGGTAGTGGGTCACCGTGAAATAGCTTTCAAACCAACCCACTTAAAAACAAGGTCAGGAAAGTTTCTAAACAATCAAATACATTCACTTTAAAAAAACCCCAAAACAACAAAAAAACAAACAAACAAATTTAAGAACAAAAACTGTTGAGATGGCCCCTTTTCCCTCCCGCCCTCCCTCACCCTGCAAACACTTACATATGCTGCAACTACAAGCTGCTCCGTGACTGGAGTCAGCGAGGAATGACCAAACACGGCAGGAGATGCAGAAGGAATCGAGTTCTGGTGACAGGCACTTAGTGGGGCTTGGGAGGGCAGCAACAGAAGTGTCTCAGGGCCCGGCTCCATCCACAGCGAGCAGGACCGCTCCCCTGGGAGCGCCTGTGCCCCTTTCCCCCCCTCCCAAGATGCCAAACCATGGTTTCCTACAGCAGAGAGGGGAACGCCTATGCCAGAGACAGCGGGCTTCTGGGAGCCACTGGCAGCGGAGGAGTTCAGAAAGGGAAGGGTGGAATGCGGCCACAGTCCCTGTCCTCCTTCTGGCAGGAGGGGACGAGAGGGCGAAGCGCCCTGGCACATGCCTGCGGGAGGCGAGTGGTCCCCTCCCTGCCCCGGCCCACGGTACGTCTGGAGGAAAGCGCTCTGCAGAACGAGAAGGGGGGTGCGCGCATCTCCGGGTGGGCAGGCAAGCGAAGAGCCCCGTGCCTCCGAGCCGCGCTCGCTGGGATAAGGCATGGAGAGAACGCAGCAGAGAACAGTGAAGAGGTGCCCTACGGGGATCCTGGCAAGGAAGCGAGGCTTTTCCGCCCTGGCACCACACCAGCGTCTGCCTGCTTTAGGGATGCACGAAGAGCAAGCCCAGGAGTTCCCGGCCCAGGATGATCTCCTGCCCTCTAAGCTGGCTTCTGCCCAGCTGGGGGAACCGAACGTCCCAGGAGTGCTGCTCCATGAACTCCAAACTATGCAGATCATCATTAAAAAAACCCCAAAAGATAATGAGATCTAGTCTCTCCCTTTACGCTCTCCAGGATTTTTGAGGTGAGCCAGGCCCGAGTTTATGACAAGCAGAGTCCCTCAAGTGAACACTCCCAGTCTGGTCAGGTGTCACACATGGAAAGAAACTACAAGGAACCTATTCACAACCTCCCCAAAAGGTGGAGTTCTCCCACAGCCCTGCCACGCCTACGGCACACCCGGGCAGCCTCGGCCTCCTCCCCGAGTTTGGAAATGCTGCAGCAGGATGGAAGATTTTCATTCTACACAGGTGCAAAGCGCCCCAAGCCCTTTGCTAGCTATTGGTTTGGCTCAAAAGCGGTGCGTGAGAACCGCGGCTTCTCCTGTGCGGTGGGATGGCGTCCCACGTGCCCCAGACCTGTGCTCGCAGAGAGGACGTGAAGGCTATTCCAGTCAAACCTATCTGACCATCTGGAGATGAAATCAGTGTTAAGGCAGTGAAGTATCCTCTCCCCTGCTGGGGAAGCTTTGCTTCTCCTAACGTTTTCTCGCAGAAGGTACGCGTTCATAAACACCCTGCCGGAGGGATTTCAGAAGGCTGCCCAGTTGCCCACACCGACAAACACCTATGCTTTGGGAAGCGGCTGCCTCCCCGTTACCTTAATCCAGATCTACCTCTTAAGCCAGCGCAAACTCCTCCAGCTCAGCAAAGCTGACGCAGCTCCCTCCTGCCAACGCCAGGCTACAGCCTCGCGTCTCTTGGCCAGTTGAGTCAGGCACGGTGTAGGAAACCATGGTAGGGACATTCACCGGCAGCTGGAAAGGGTGATTGAAAATTCAAGTATGCTTTCCTCAGCACATGGCCCAAGGCAGGCGTCGGGAACCCCAGACTGGCACGAGGGGCGTGTGGATGTCATCGACATCCCCACTCGAGGGCATTCTTTGCACCCCACTGTCTTCCCAGCTGAATGTCTGTCTGCGCTGGCACCGGGTGGCCACGCAGAGATCCACAGATACAATGTGCATCTGTAAATGCTAAAAATAATAAAAAGTGCAACGACGTCAGCTTCTTTAAAACAATCCACATTGCTCTGTTACCGTCAGAGGAGGGAGATGTCAAGGGAGCCGGAAATAAAACCTAACTGGAACAGTAGATTGCAAATTTCTCACAGCTTGCACATTACAGTGTAACTGTTCCCAAGGAGCCGAAAAGGGAACCTGTCTCTTACTGCTGCAGCAGTCAGGCCCTTCTCCCACGCAACTCTCCTGCCCGCACCGCATCCTCCTGCCCTCTCGACAGCCAATCGAACCTATGTTATTTCTTTGCTTAATTAAGGAGGGAGGAGGACGGAGGAGCAGAGAGCGCAGGGGAGGGAGGGGAAGAAAGTGAGCAGGAACTAAGCACAGTCCTCAGGTTTGCGTGAACGATGCCTTCGCCGTAAACAACGGGAAGGAGGGTCAGCCAGCCAGCCCCCCTCCCAGGGCGACCAAGACCTGAGCCAGCCACAGTCCTGGTCCCAAAAGGAGCTTCAGGCTTGGAGTGAACGAGGGAGACCATTCAGCAGATCCACCCCAGAGTGGTTTGTTTTGGAACGTTTTCTTCTCTTTTTGGTTTAAAATGTCACTTTTTTTTTTTTCTTTTTTCTTTCTTCCTCCTATGCCTCCTCCTCCTCCCCCCTAAAGAGAAGCCCCTTCCAGTGAGACAGGGCAGGAGCTGCAGGTATGGTGGTTCCTGCAAGGCCCAGGAGGCACCGGTCACTTGTGACGCTGAGCTGTCTTCTTCCGTTTCCTCTTAAAGAAGCAGCAGCACCTGGGGCACAAAGGACAAGGCAAGTTAGCCCCGTGCCCGGCACCCTGCGAAGGTCCCCCGCCATCCCGGGCTGCCGCCTCCACTCAACTGCATGCAACAGCACCTCCGCGCGCCCGTACCGAGGCCCAGAAGACAGACCTGCCGTCCCACGGGACGGTCAGCAGATGCTGGTGGGTGGTTCATCCACCAGCCCGGACCAGTAGACCAGCGAAGGCAAGTTGGCCGCACGCTGGGGGTCCCACTGCCCAAAGGCTGCAGGTGACAGCGGGGCGCAGCCCCTGAGCACCGGGCTAGCTCCCTCCCAAGGCTCAACTGGGGCTGGAACACAAGGAGCCAACTGGGAAAGCCGTAAAACAAGGATCCAGCTGCTCCGCTCCCTCTGTACAAACCCTGGAGGAAGCGGACTGGGATGGCAAGCCCTGGCTGCTCTTCCCAGCTACGAGACACACGGTTTTCACCACTGTTCACTAAAAAGACAAGTTCCAAAGAGATCTCGGCTCAGGAACCAGGTTTCTTTACTGAACCTTTCACGATAACCAGAGCTTCCACCTTGGATAAATCATTCAGTGCCGGTATGCAGAACGCCTGCTTCTTCCCCCATCGGATGCGAGGGAGGTGCACAGCACCCGGGGATTAGGGGAAGCAAGAAGGATGGATAGTGGAGGCTGAGGTGGGGAGAAAAACGCCCATCGCAGCTGAACCGTGAAGAGTGGCGGTTTCACTTGTGGATACACTGAAAGCAGTTGCCCAGGTTTTCTAGTCCTGCTGGCTTCCTACAGAGTTACTTGGGAGTTTAAGGTGCCTCTACCTTTCTATCCTCAGCCCACTGTCAGGAAACCTCTGCACAGAAGAAAGGTGTTTGTTCTGTGAGAGTTCTGCTCCTGAGCTATATGTCTTTCTCCTGCTGTTACAGCTGTCTCCAGAGAAGCCTGGGTGATGCTGAAAGACTACTTTTTTAGGCTGGTGGAAGGGCTGCCCGCCTAAGCAGCAAGAGCAGATGTGAGTATGCAAAGACCATTTTTTCCTACAAGTATCTTCTACCAACAGCCAGACCAAAGGCGTTCAAAAACACTGTAATAATTTCTCCAAAGTATTTTCCATTGGGTCCTTCGTGGCCCTGAAATGTCAGCATTACACTTCTGTCCTCTCAGAGCTGGAGGAACAGGTCCATTCTCACTCGCACCCCAGAAGGTTCTTGCCCCAAGATGCACGACCCTTACTACGGGGTGCAGGAGCGATCGGTGACCAGCCCCCTGCCCCGTGAGCCAAGCCTGCCAGCATAGATCATCTGCTGAGGAGACCGAAACCCTCTACAACATGGAGAGCTCAAACAGCCACAGTCGGAGGAGGGCCACCTCCCACTACACGTTCCTCTGGCCTGCATGGACTAAGAGCCAGGGGAAGTTTAATATCCACGATTTGTCTTTAGGTTCTGAACAGGCCCAGCTTGGAGGTGAGACAAGGAAAAAAGCAAAGCACTTGTCCTTGCAGGAACCCAGGCTCAGAGCGACCTGTGATGACTCCACCACTACCCACCTAGCCTGACGTTTGCGGCGTGCAGTCTGAAGCACCACCCGACCCAGGCTCCTGCGCACGGCTGGCACTCTCACCCCCTGCCCCAGGACTGCTCTTGCATTTTATTGTCCCGGGCCATCTACCACCCTTCTGCTTTAACCTGTCACAGTATTTCTCTCCCACAGCAGCCACCTTCCTTCATGACTTGGGCGATGGTGAGTAAGGGAGAGAACATTATGGGGAAAGAGGATGGAAAATGCATGAGTTATGATTTCGCATGCAGCGGGTAGGGGAAGAAGAGGGCTGAGCAGCACTTGTTTCCTTGGGCACCGAACGAAGGGAGCTGACTGACTTCTGGCTGTTTTTCCTTGTGACTGTCTTTTTAGGCTGTTACTCAAAGGTCCAGGGAAGGGTTCAGGAAAGGAAGTCCTGGCAGTTCAGACAGGCAGAGGCAAAACACCAAAATAAAAGAATAAGGCAGGCTGACAATTACAGAACGTGATCTCTCTGCATGCAGACAATGCCCAAGAGAACAGCCCCAGACTATGACATACAGAGAAGCCAGAGATGCCAGAGGTATTGGAGGCAATGCCTATGGAGAGCAGGGCAGAGACAGTCAGTCTCCCGTCCAACAAGGACATTCCTCGCTGCACACGGGCTTTGTCACCTCACTCCATAGCAATTCCCACCCATTAGCCCTCCCTGGGACCTACAAACCCCTCATCTGAGTCTCTGCTTGGTCCTCTCCACTTCCTGGGTATGTGGTTGACCCAAGGGGCAAGGGAGGAAGGAACACCTGTGTGGGACACCTTGAGACCAGGACACTACAGCTGTGGCTTCAAAACCCCGATGAAACTGTACATTTGCCTGAGCTGGGTTTGGACCAATGCTCATCCCACCCCTTTGCTTCTTCTTTCCTTCAGAAGCCCGTTCACCTGCACCCTCAGCTGGCAGCTGCAGGGTTTTTGGAAAGCAGCCATCTCCCCCCGACACTCTCCAAGCAGGGGCTGTAGCTGGGGCTCTGTCACTAACGAGGAGTCCATGGGCACATGTTTCCATCCTCTCTAACGATACAGGCTCTGGCCTGTGCTTCTTCAAAGGAAACTCTCTGAGGAAGCGACTGGCCCCCTCCCCTCGCTACACAGCACAGGGTTTTCCCTTCATAACTGTCTGCGTGAGGAATTCCTGCAAGATGCTCGGCAAGCCTGGTCCCGACTCTGCCCAACTCCATTAGACATCATCTGCTCACGGACATAACGGTTTGAGGGAGATGGTAAGCCAAATAGAAAAGGATTAAAATTCGTCTTTTGCATCCATCAGTTCAGGGATCAGCCAAATTGCTCGGCCTAATGAGGCCGCTCAGACATAGCCCATACCCTCCCCAATATTGCATGTGGTCCTCAACACGGTCCTAAAATCAGAACAGCTCTGGGTTGGCTTTGACTTTGTGCCTTTTTAGGGTTTGGTCGGTTTGATTTTGCCAACCCCAGTCTAGTCTGGTCCGCTCCCCCTTGCATGTGGACTGGAGAGAGGGACTCACCACAAGTTGAGCATTTTCAGGCAGCTACAGAGAGTGTAGAGAAAAAACACAGAAAGGAAGAAAGAGCAATTAGTTCACAGAGGTGGGATGAAAGCATGTCACTGCAGCCATGCAAACATGCAGTGCAGACTGGCAGACACACACCATGCCTGCCCACCGCCCGCCCCCAGCCCTCATACCACCTCTGCCCTTGCCATGGCGCCGCTGAGAACTGCCACGTTTTCCAGGGTCTTGAGGCCTCCGACAAACACCCCCTGTTTTCCATGAAGCCACCAGCCCTATGAGGTTCTTATCTGGGCCTGGAATCAGAAAGGGGCTCTGGGCCACCAGGAGAGGAATCTGCTCTTGTCCCCTGCAGCTCCAGCGGCAGAAGGGCCATGGATCTATGCCCAGGACCTGCCCTTCAGTGAAACCCACGGCTGGGATCAGGAGTTTATCTCCAGCATACCCCAAAGCAGAAGCATTTGCACAGCTCCTCTGCCTGCCGGGAGTGCCAGGGAAAGACCTTTCTGCTACTGCATCTTGTCTTCAAACACAGACCCCCCAGCTCCAGCTCCTTCTAGCTCTTTCTGGCCCTCTTCATTGCAGAGCAGAATCCAGAAGTCCTTTGCCCTCCTCATATAACTGAGGGGATTTATGATCACAGATGCAAGGGAAGATGAAGCCAGCCCTCCTTGGGGCAAGAGGAATGAAGTAGACTACACTTGGGAAATACAAGAGACCCCAAACCTGTCAGTGCAAAGCAGCCTGTGCTCTGCTTCCCAGCACCTCCAAAACCAAACTGGGACCACACAGACAAAGGCTGGAGGGAGACAGAACAGTTTCCATGCGTTGTGAGACACCGTTTGGGCAGCATGGCCCTTGCATGCTCCTTTTGACCTGTCTTGACATCTCCCCTGTACACAGGTGTGGGGTCTGGACCCTGGCCTCGCTGAACAAGGTCCTGCAGAAACACTGGCTGAAGGCGGTCCCATCTGAAAAGCTGGCTCTTCCTTGCATTGGGTTGTTGTATCGAGGACTGTTAAGGGTGACAATTTGCCCCATCCTAGGAGCAACCCCAAGCCACATGCCTGGGGGACACCCACATCAGTCTAAGACAGAGCCTGTGATGCCAAACTGGTGGTCTCTGCAGGCCACACTACCCACATCTAAGAGGAATATTGCCCACTCTGCAAATTGCACCTCCCTCCCCCACCCCGCCATACTTTACGAGGAGCCTGTACCAAAACCAAGGCTCGCTCCTTTGGCTGGAAGGAGAAAGTGTATCTGTTGCTTGGGCATGTTGCTGCCAGATCACGCCCAGGCCAGCTACCAGTGAACAAGACCACGCAGAAGTGCTTCCCAAGGGACAGAGGAATAGACAGCAGAAGACCTTCCAGACAACTAGGGACCCTTCCCATCAACACACCCTTCCTCACACCTGCCAGTTTTCCTCTTCACCCTCCCACAAGCCACTCCTAACAGGTTTCCACAAAGGCTGAGACAAACAATGTGGGACAAGCAACACTAGTGTCATCCAGTCAAATTACAACCAGGCAGTTGGGCAACGTCACAGCACTGACCAGTTCAAAGGGGGGGCCGATTTACCCCTTGTCCAGGGATTGTCTGGATTATACTGTGACCTGCTATGGTCCTGGTCTAGATCAGAGGCAGTGAGAAGGTCTCATGTTGAGGATCATGCAAAAGGTGACATGATGGTGCCGGATGCAGCACGTGTGCAAAGGGAGGCCAAAATGGTTGAAGCAGCAACTTTGTACATCAGTTCTCGCTCTTGACCACAAGCTACAGAGGAGAGGTCAGCTCAGAGGGAGCACTCTGTTCCCCACAAGCAGGAGAGCTGTTCCTGGTTTCTTTCGCTCAGCTTCCATTGGGCTGGACCAAGAGAATTCAGAGAGAACTACTCATCCCTGCAAGAGTTACTTTAGGACCGTTCTGGATACCTGGCATCCACTTCTTGGAGCCAGAAATAAAGTGTTAACTTTCTGACAAACAATCTCTTCACCAAGCTGTGCTCAAGCTACTCCTACACTCTCAACATGAGAGTACAGCGTGTTCTCCTTTTGGAACAGGGGATGCTCACTGGGATTCCTGAAATTAATTCACATTGTTTTGGTATCTGTGCTACTGTCTATCTTGCAATACATGCTCTGAGTAGGAGTTACGTTCTCCAGCCATGACAAGTGTCAAAAAGAAGCAGCGGCAGCAGCAGCACTGAAGGCACCATGCACAAAAGCAGCAATATGCAAGGAAAAGGGCATGGGACACGAGCATCGAGTACTTCACCACGGGTAAACATCCCCACTCGTTTCCCAGGAGGAGGATTAATGACCACACCAGTGGAAAGCCTGTTTGTAAAGCAAACGTACTTAGCTTCTTCCACCACCTCCACCTCCGCCTGCGCTGTTATTGGAGCGTTGGAGTGTGCCCCCGTCGGGTCATCCACGTTCAGCTCCCCATTGGTCGAGCTAACCACCTGAAACACAAACGAACACCCCATTAACGAAGCCCCCTTGCACGTGATGTGTCTCCAGCCACCTGGACAAGGGATGTTGTGGGAATGGGAAATCTGTGGAATAACTTCTGTTTGCTCTCATCTCTTTGCACCCTGTCAGGTTCCCTGGATGCCTTTGAATCATGTGCCCGGCTTGGAGAGACCAGCCTGGTTCATCCCAAGGAGAACAGCAGGCAGGGCCTGTGCCCATGTTCGCTAATTTACACTCCTGTGCCCAGCACAGGTCTTGTGTCTTTGGCAGGCGCAGCCACTCTGGGAGGCACAGCCGCTAGCGGGAAGCCCTGTACACACGCACACACAGAGTATTATGTTGATTGTTTTCTCCTGACACTTTCTCAGGTGAGCGACTCAGTCCCGTTGCCTGCCCACACCGTGGGAAGAAGTCACTCCAGAGCCACCCACCTCAATCCTTACACAGACAGTTTCTGGAATTATGTCCTCACCCAAAAGCTATTAATATGGTCTCTCATATCTTTTTGCTTCACAGCTGACATTACAGCTTTTTATCAGCATTTCCACTACAGGGATGACCATCTAGATCCCCAGCTGCCAGCAGCTCTGCATTTGCCAGGAAAGCACATAATTTTCTGGATAATTCATTGTTGCTGTATTGCTATGACAACCACCAAAGAAGCCTGTACGGGACTGAAGTTCGGCCAGCCCTTCTGCACTCCACCTGGAAGGTAGGACAGGCTGCTGCATGTTGCTGTGAACACCTGGAGCTGCTCCTGGCTCCAGAGCTAGAACGATGCATGGCTCCCCTTCATTCCACTTCTTCACCTTTCTACAAGGTAAAAGGAGGTATCTCCCATGGGGGAGGTCAAGGTGCTACCCAGTATTCCTGGTGGCTCTGAATGACCTAACCACCAGAGATGAAGGGAAGGAAGCCACTGAAGCAGATGTTCCCTCACTATTAGGTGTGTCTATCCATGTTCGTTTTGAACACTTAAGTTCTACCAGTACGTGCTCTTTCTACAGATGTTGAGTGGCCAGTCTCTGCCAAGACAGGTTGGGACTCAGCTCATGTGGTTTTCAGAGCTCTCCTCAAGTGACAACCCCTTGGGTTCTCTTCACACACCCCCTTCCCAGACTCATCACACTGTAGGCCCACCCAGGTTCTCCAGACCCCCACACTTCCCACACAACTTTGCAAAATGCTAGCACTTAATCGTGCTATTCCCAGTGATCTACCCCACCTTTCTTCAGCGACTTGTTAAACTTCATTTTACAAAAGGCTTTGATTTTCCTCCTCTTTTTTCACGTGCTGTCACTTCATTCTGATGTGGCAAATTGAACTGTTGCCTTAAAGGAAATGGCCACTTGAAGCTACTGACCTCCCAAGGGTTCAGCATAAGCTGAACATCTGTTGAGAAACCATTTAAGCATCTGCAGCCTAGCAGCTCTGCACAGCAGAATATTTCCTGGTTTTGGCTGCAGATAAGCAGAATTTTAATGCTTATGGTGGCACATACAGGCTTGTACACTGCTCAGGCAGGCAAGCCTCCCAGTCAAATTAGGAATACGACTGCATTATTGCTGTTAGCTACTCTGGCAAAGCACTGTTCGTGGGGAGACACAGCTCATGCTGGCTTTGTACAAGGAAATTATATCCCTTACATAAAGAAAATTAATAAAAACACCTGCTCTGTACTTACTGAGAGCTGAATCCATAGAATCACAGAATGGTTTGGGTCAGAAAGGACCTTTACAGATCATCTAGGCCCCCCTACCATGGGCAGGGATATCTTTCACAAGATCAGGTTGCTCAAAGGCCCATCCAATCTGTCCTTGAACACTTCTCCAGTTTACTGTCTGCTCATGTCTGAGATCAGAGCTATAGATAGATTAGTTCCTCCTTATCTTTCAGTTTCTCTGCTACTCGGTACAATATCTTTAAACGAAAAAAGGAACGTGGCTAATCAAGTAAAAAGATCATTGAATCCAACCAAGTATCAGGAATAAGTAAAAATTTCAACCTAATCTGCATTTCACTTAGGGGCACCCTGCAGTATCCTCAGCTCAGCTCTGTCCCACTCCAGGCACTAATTCCCATCTCACCAGAGCCAATTTTCAAAGTGTTGTGTCTGGCACTCAGAGGCAGCTCTCACAGGCAAACCTCTGCCAGAGTTCACCTCGCCAGCAACATCAGGTTTTTTTTGTTTGCTTGAATGACTGTTGCATCTTCTCTCTAGCATGTCCAGCCATCTTACTGAGGCAGTAGGGCAAGAAATTCCCTCAACGAGCCTGAGTGACAACCAGAGGCAGGTATGGTTTCATAAACAAGCAGTCTTTCCAGGAATTTAACAGTTTAGCTGTAGTGCCACCTTTAATGCTGCCTGGCACTGTTGTGCATCCTCTGCTCATCCACCTTCCACAGCGCCATCAGCCAGGGATCCAACTTGCAGCCACCATACCCTTACGCTGGTGCTGGTCTGCCACTGGATCCAAAACTAAAATGCAAATGCACCGGGGAGCAAGAGAACAGGGTCACCACAGCCTGTGATTGCAGCGACAGTTCAGCTTGTCCCCCCCTCCATCCAGAGGGAGAAGCACAGCCTGCTTGCACCAGCCATCCACTGCCCATTTCTCCAGTCTGACACCTCTAGATTTCCCTTAAGCA